CCCCATCCCCGACCCGCCCCGCCCCTGGCCCCCGCCCCCAGACGTGGTTCTGCTGGACAACCCTCTCAGCGCCGTGGACCAGCACACCAGCAAGCACATCTTCGACTTCGCCATCAAGGGCCTGCTCAAAGACAAGGCCGTCGTGCTTATCGCGCACCAGCTGGAGCTGCTGCCACAGGTGCGTGGCGGATGGGGCCGTGCGACCTCTTGCTGACACGTTTCGGCCTTACGTCTCCGTGCCGTTGGACGGTGCGACTCGCAAAGGCAACTGTCCTAAGCATGTTGTGTCGCCTGCGGAGGCGTTGGCTCGCCACGACGGGTGAGCGCTGCGTCTTACGCGGCGTGTGGCGTGCACACAGCCGGCCTTAGCACCTCAACCGATGATGCTGCGCGCAGTGCACCAAAGTGGGCATCATGAAGGGCGGAGAGATGATCTACTTTGGCCCCCCAGACGCCGCAGCTCTGCAGGTGTGTCTGCTGTCGCCTGTGCACTTCATGCTCACATGTGAGCGCCAACCGCCACTTGTATGCGCTCCTTGCTCATTTTTGCCGCTTAGTGTTGTGTGCCGCAAGCCGGTACAATCTTAAACACCTGCCTGCGCACGCACCGCCAGGAGCACATGCCTGTCGACAGCCTGGCCGATGCGACCGTCGAGGCCAAGGAGAGCGCCACCGCTGTCGCCGCCCCCGCTGTGCTCGACAAGGAGGTGCGCTGCGCTTGAAAATACGCACTTCCTTGAAGATACTGCATGCCTGATGGCCGTGGCCACCCGATAAAGGGAGCTTAATGCGTTGTTTGAGGATTTTGCACCCCATCCACGCCCCTGGCAGGCGTCCAAGGGAGCCGGCGGCGATGCGCACGACCCTGAGCGCCAGGGCAGCGGAGATCTCATCAAGGCGGGCGGGCGCTTTGACCCTTGCAAAGAGACGCCAGAGGAGGTGGGAAGCACGCGCGCATATGACACAAGGCCATCCAGGACAGGGCCCCAAGGCACGCAGTGTCTTGGGTCAGTTTTGAGAGGCAGCAGCAAGATCCTTCAGCCCGTTCAGATGGGGCTCATTTACTGCAAAACGTTCTGTCCCCTGCATTGCCGCTGCAACACCACTGCAGATTGCGGCCAAGTTCAGCGGCACTGCGCCGCGCCTCACCGCGCGGCGTGCCGCCTTCATTTACTGGCGCTCCGGCGGCCTGGTGCTGGGGGTGGTGTCGCTGGCCATCTTTGCCATCACCCAGACCACGCGCATCATCGGCGACTGGTGGATCAGGTGGGATGGGAATCTAATTAAGCCCTGGGTGTGGTCCACAGGGCCGCCCCAGCACTGTCCGTGCAATCCCTGCGTCCCAACGCACTGTGGCGCTCATGCACGATGGAGCACGCAACGGCTCTGGCCGCGAGCCTCGTCCCGGCCGCAGCGCGCTGCGCTGACGTCGACACCGCCCGGGCCCAACCCCTCCTCTGCGCCCTTGCATGCAGGTCGTGGGCGGCCGACCACCCGGCGCACTTCTACCGCCTGCACCCGCGGCTGGAGGCCAACGCGCTGTACCTGGCGGTGTACGCGCCGCTGGTGGCGCTGTTCATTGCGCTGCTGCTGGTCAGGGACGGCGTGTTCAGCGCCTGGAGCGTCAGGTCCGTGGTTTGTTTGGGGGGGGGGACGGGCTGTACTTCTCAGGTGCCTCTGAGGCATTGACGCTTCGACAGGGAAGGGTGCAAATCAGAAGAGGCCGTCACATCAGGACATGCCTGCAGCCAACTTTCCGGCTTGCCAGTTGTCCGGCCGAGCCCGGCCAGACGGCCCATCAAGCGCTGCCACCGCTGTCGCCGCCTGGCCGCGCCGCCGCAGGGCGTCCACGAAGCTGCACAACCAGCTGTTCCGCCGCGTGCTGTCGGCGCCGATCCTGTTTTTCCTGAGGACCCCGGTGGGGGACGTGCTCAACGCCTTTGCGCGCGACCAGGTGGGGGGCCGCACCGCTCGTACCTCGCGCGGCGACGCCGCGTGATGGAGTAGATCGGGAGCCGCCCGATCCAACTGCGCGTCAGGGTATGTCTGCCATCACTGCAGCACTGCCCGCGTGCCAACCACCGCGAGCAGCGCGTCCCCATCTAGACCCTTGCGTATTTTCGGGTGCGGCTAGCCGCTGCATCACCTGCTGTGGATGTCGATCAAACCTCAGTCAACGTCTTCTGCTGCAACCGCTCTCTTCCTCTCGACAGGACACCCTGGACGAGACGCTGCCCGACACGCTGCACATGACAGGCATATACCTCATGATTCTGCTGACGTCACTCGCCATAGTCACGGTGCGGGGTGGTGACGGTGGGGGGAGAGGGGGGCATGGGACGGCTGCAAGGATCAGCCGCAGGAGCGCACGGGGGTTGTGCAGGGGGAAGCATAATGCTGCACGCACACATCAACGATCAAGTTGACCAACCGTCGGCCCCGCATTCTGTGTTCCTGTGGACTTCCCGCTAGGTGTCGATCCATTACTATGCCATCATGACAGGGGCGCTGTTCCTCAGCTTTTTCATGATGCAGGTGGGGGGCGGATGGGGTGGAAGGGTGGTGATGTTGTGTTTTTATACCATGATTGTGTTTGTCTGGATTAGGAGGCAAGGGGCAGGCAGAGTGTTGGGGATTGATGATGCATCAACAACAGCAGCATCTTTCAGGTCTCGGACACACCAGGGCTGGCCCCCAATCGGTCCTTTAGGGGACTCATGCCACCCAGCGTCGGCCACCTGAGACCGCCTCGCCTGCCCTCCGCAACCGATGCCCCTCCCCCCCTTGCCTGCCGTCCCAGTACCTCTACCTGCCAGCAGCGACGGTGCTCAAGCGCTGGGCGGGCGAGACCGCCAGCGGCGTGTTTGTCCACGTGGACGAGAGCCTCCATGGGATGGACGTCATCAGGGCATTTGGGGCCGTGGACTACTTCATACAGGTGGGACTTGGGGCTTTCTGGTGCGGGGGCTGCCTGGTGCAAGTGTCGCCTCTGACAATGCCCTCATGGGCCCAAGCAGCAATATGCTTGTGCGACGTGCTTGAAGAAGGCGAACGGTTGTCGTTGCTTGGGGTGTTTAATGCAGGGTTGGAGCCCAGCAGTTGTGGTTGCCTGCCAGACAGTGCTCCCGGCCCACCGTAGCCCACACATCATTCGCAATCGCCCGCCCCGGCAGGAGAATGTGGCGCGCCTGAACCGCCACCATCTTGCGTTGTTTAACACGGAGCAGACGCACCTGTGGCTGGCCTTCTGGTGGGTGGGCCGGCCCACGCTGGGGGAGAGAGGGGAAGCATTCTTGTGTTAGATTCGCGTATGCGGAGCAGTACGGAACTCTGAAAAGGACGTTGCAAGGCAGGTGCGCACCACTATGACTGCATGTCACAACCACCATCAATGATTGAGCAAGGATCCTGGAAAGTATGACTGGTCACACCAGTGCTTGGAGCTTGTCGCCCTCCCACCACAAATCACGCAATGATCAAACCTCTCAGGTGCGATTTCTTTGGCGCCGTGCTGGTGGTGGCGACCTGCCTCTTCAGCGTGGCGTTCAGCCAAGACCTGGGCGCGGCCAACGTGGGCCTGGCCATATCAAACTCCATCCAGGTGCGCAGCGGCCTCCTGGCTTCAACCGCAGCTGGAAGCGAAGCCGAAACCAGCCGTCACACACCCTGACCATCAGCCTGGGGCTGCGCGGCCCAGGCCTGCCTCCGCCGCAGCACACGGACGCAAGTGTATGACTACTCAGTAGGTGGAAGATCACTCCCAAAGCACAGTTCACCCCAAAGGCAGCCAGGCGCTGCGCAAAGGGCACCGTCACAAGCCGCTGCAGCAGAAGCTGCATCCCTGGTTGTCGCAACCCTCCCCGACATCACACACACACACACACACACACACACGCACGCACACACACACACACACGCACGCACGCACGCACGCACACGCACGCACACGCGCGCGCACGCGCGTGCATGCATATACGCACACACACGTGCGCGCTTCAAATGCACAACACACACACAAATCAGAACAAATCTTGTTCAAAAACCAACCGACGCCAGGTGCTGGTGTTCTTCACGTGGGTGGTGCGCGGCGTCGCCGACAGTGTGTCCATGTGGGACGCCGTCGAGCGCGTCACCACGTTTGCCACCCAAGTGCCCAGCGAGCAGGCGGTGGAGGTGCGCGTGTGGGGGTGGGAGGGAGGGGGTCGAGGCTTGTCACTGCCAAACGGCTGCCAGGGTCGGATGGGGTGAAGGGATGGGGTTGTGCGCATTGCGCGTGCGTGGCGGGGGAAGAGGGAGGGGGGACACGTTGCAGGCGACCGTCATTCTGGCTGGGCTGGCAAGGAGGAAGAGGTGTCGCTAACAGGGGATATTGTGCGTGTCCCCTTCGCATGGGCGCCTGCGTTGACTGCAGGGCTGCCCCGATCAGGAGGAGGACGAGGCGCCCCTCACCCAGCACCGCGACAGCACCCTCGCCGGCCGCGCCCGCCGCGGCGCCGGCAGCGTCGTCCGCCGCCTGCACACCGCGCAGCGCGCCGCCCTCGAGGCCGGCCGCACGCGCTCCAGCCTGGGCGCGGCCGCGCTCGGGCCGGCCGGGTCCGCGCGGCGCAAGAGCCTGCAGGAGCCCGCGGGGCCGGCGGGGAGGGCTCGCGGGTCCATGAGCGTCCGCGGCGGCCTGGGCGGGGGTGCTGCGGCTGCTGCAGCGGGAGCAGTGGCGGCCGGGCCGGAGGAGCTGCGGGTGATTGTGGTGGAGGACCTGGCGAGCGGCGCCAAGCAGGAGCGCAAGTTGGCGGAGTGGCCGGCGTCGGGTGCGGGGGCTGGGGGCGGGTGTGTGCGCAAACGCCCGGGCCAGTGCTGGTGGTGCTGCTGTGATGTGAGGGGTGTGCTGTGTGCAGCCGCGCAGCCGCGCAGCTCCATGGAAGGGTGGAAGCTTTTGCGGAACAATCCACCGACGTCAATTGGCTGAGGTGCTTGCACAGGTGCCTCTTTTTTTAATATGTGTGTGCTCCGTTGCTCCCCTCCCTTTGGGTCTCCCGCCCCTGCGCTTCTCAAGGCGACCTGCGCTTTGAGCGCGTGAGCCTGCGGTACTTCCCGGGCGGCCCTCTGGCCCTGCGGGGCGTCACGTTCCACGTCAACGACTGCGAGAAGGTGCGCATGCGGGGACGTGCGTCAGGGTGTGTGCGGATGTGAGGCGGGGGCGCGGGTGTGTGCTTGGATGGGGAGAGGGCGGGGCACATGGTGTGAGGCTCAGTAGCTGGGCGCGCAAGAAGGCCGGAGGTTGCTTCCAAGACAAGCAAGGATAGCGTTGTCAGCATGACGTCATGGCCCATGAGCTAGGGGTGCGGGCAGGCTTCCCAGCTCGCCCGCTGCCACGGCTTGGTCTAAGGTTTGTTTTTCAGGGTCAGGGTTACACGCCCTTTGAAACTAACAACCACGGAGGATGGACTCAACAAGACTCCGTGTCGCTGCCCATTGGTCCCCCTCGCCCCCTGCCGTCCGCCCCCGCCCCCGCAGATCGGTGTGGTGGGGCGCACCGGCAGCGGCAAGACGACACTGCTCATGGCCCTGTTCCGGCTGCTGGACCTGGCGGGGGGGCGCGTGCTGGTGGACGGCGCAGACATCGCCACCCTGCCCCTTAAGGAGGTGCGGTTTTGTTTTGCAGGAGATTAGAGGGGTGAGGCGGCGCCAGTGCGTGTGGTCACCACAATTGTGTGTGGCCTGGTTTGTACTAGGACACAGCCCACGTACAGTCGCCATCCGGCAAATACTCTTGTACTGGTGGTGTCGGACGACCCCAATCAATCCTGAAAGACAACACAAAAAGGGTTTGATGAGCATTGTGACAAGTCACAGACGGCTCATCAATGCGCGTGCCCCACTGCCTATCGACATCCATTGACGCGGCCTGGTGGCGGCCACCCCCTTCCCCCTCCCCCCCTCCCCGCCC